CTTGTGATGGTGTCTCCAATCTTCGTACATTGTGGTTGGTATATTATTTTTCAAAGAAAAGCCACATATTTCTTAAATATGGTGTGTCATTTATCTCAACCAGACGCACTTCTGACTTGCTTCATGGAGGACTTTTATTTCTGCATAGCAACATTTGCTTCATTGATCTTCAGGATATTATTGTGCTTCCACATGAAAACACATAGCGTGCTTGACATAGAGCTTTATGCGGATCAGATAAATATTCTGCATCTGCGTAATCAATCGATTTTGTCTTGAATTCCTCGGAATAGAATAAATCCATAACTATGGTCCTTCGAGGATATTCAATCATGTGTTCAACATCATTTGAATATCCTTTTATCGGGGAGAAACTGAATCTTGCCAGTAAATTTACTGCAAAACAAATATGTGGTCAAATATTGTTAGTAAGATGCACTAGTGCCCTGATTGCACCAAGATAGAGTTTCATAACCAAGGAACACTTCATCCTTCTTTTGAGATCAAACTGAATCATCATTTATGTCAAGTAGTCTCATAATCATTGGGGTACTCAATGAATGCGATTTATCCATATAAAATTGCATCAAAACTTTTCAATGTATGTGCAGTGTTAGACAAATATTTCATTTGTCAAATTATCAATATGTAGGTCAATACAAAATTTTGTCTTACCAAGACCTTTTCATAAAAATACAAGGACAATTAGGGTCATTCTTTTGTACCCATTTTCTTCCTTGACTATTTCAATCCATATAAGGATTCTTGAAGCTTTATTGAAATTCTTTCAAACTCTTATATGCTTCAGACACCTGAATTGTTTCAAGGATTTTTATATAACCTTCATTGTCTAGCTAGACATTACAATTATTCATTACATGCATTCAAGTTTTTCATATGTTGCCAGATCAAACCAAACCTCATTGCATCCACCAAAGGAGAAAATATCTCCAATAATGTCAGGATTTCTGCGATAAACCTTTATGCCCCAAGGCACAAACCGTATTTGATATCTTACGGTTATACTATCGCATAATAATTTATTTGTACCCCACTGACATTATATCTTGATTTATGGACTACTAGTCCAAAATGTCACTTTTCTAAGTGAAACAAAATATACTTGAATTGTGCATTTTACTTGGCCAACCATTTATCTGTCCACACTATATGACAGATTTGAATTCAAGATCCTCTTCACAATTTATATCATTGAGCGCTACCTCATATCAAAGATACCGTCGACTATTATTTGATATCGATTCCAACAAGAAATACTTATCGAGATCTCTTCATTTTTCATTATTTTAGGTGCCTGAACCTTTTTCAAGATTTTATGAAGTGTTATGTCACTGTGATCTTTTATAGCACTTGCCTCATTACCATGACCATATTGATCATTTGCTCCTTCCTTCTTCAAGGAATTTTATATTTGAAATCTATTGGTCTATTACACTTCCGGCGTATCATAGACTCTGTCCTTCAAGGAATTCACATTGGAGTATTTGCAACTGAATTATATCATAGGGTCAGTGCATTCATCTGGCAGCTGATTTGCAACATTATGCAACTGAATTATCCCTTGAACTTTAAGTTCACATATTTATTTAACGAGGATCTAGATAGTTCACAATTAACCTCACACATAATTTTCAGCTGTCAATCATCTCTCTCCCACATGTTAGAAAATCTAACATTCATTCCAACCTTATTTGGAAGTTCATCTTTGTGTGTGGTGGAGCAATTAAAATTATAACCGCACATTCAAAATTTTAGATGAAAATTATATGGTTCCTGACTCTGAACCAATTTTAATGGGGAAACCTTGTTGGTTTGATGCATACATGTGTTGCTACATGTTAAATAAAATTATCTCATACCAAATTTTATATGAGAGTTTTATTCTCATAACCATGATTTAGGTATAATTGGAGGCATACAATTTCTGCTAAATCAACCATCATTATCAATATAATTCCATAGTTTGGAACTGTGCTCTTAATTTTAACAATTCGAGCAAACAACCTTACAAAAATAAATTTGTAAGTTGACAACAAAATACATGTGACCATCGCATAGATGCATCAATCATATAGTTGCAAATGATCCACATGACAGGTGAACGGGCTCATATTCACCCTTTTATATGTTCCAAAAATTTTAGGGGATTACAGTCCCAACCTTAGCTGGTACAATGATCATTTTATCAAGAGAACAAGCAACACAAGAGAATTCTTGAAGAATCTTTATTTCTTCATCATATAAATCACCTGAATTCTCAATCACGTTTGCATGACATTTAATCAGAATGGTCAACCAGTCATGCCAACTGATCTTTATTTTAGTACACTTATAATTTACTTTTACATGTGATTTCATCAGCATGTACATGTTTGTATGAAACAAACATGAGGAAAAGTGGGATAATCTTTTACATAAACATTTATAACCCTCTTCGGTTGTAGTGATTTATAGTCTCAATATTTATTTTCAATTCATCCGAAACTTAAAAAGTTTCTTTTGAGACTTACTACAACCCCAATATTATTCCTCTGATAATAGCACAACTCGTTAGAGCTTGTAATTAATTTTGTGTACTATCACATATTGCATGACACCATCCCTATGGTGAGCATCTCCTTCAAGGAGAAAATTATATTATTATTGTCATGGTCAAAATCATTACGAGCAAGACATCTTTCTTGCTTTACTTTTGTTGTACCATAGGTACACAATCAATGACAAATTTTTATTGTCACACAATAATGACCACAATCCTTATAGGCAAGAATTATTTCTTTCTTTTGCCTTTTCGTTAGTTCACAATAAACATACCATAGTGACATATAAAAAGTACAATATAATTAGCCATTTATGCCAAATAAAATTTATTTCCTCTCAAATCTCCCGTTGAGATGAGTAGTGACATATATCATTTTTTCTCAAACCTTCCATAGAGGTGATTTATTGCATATATCCAACATATAATGATTTTATCACATCTGGACCCATTCTCTTATAGAATGATCGAGCATTCAAGATACTCATCACAAGTCACATTCTCTTCAAGGAATGGACTAATTATTTATATGTACTTCATAAATTTGCATTATAAGCACATTGTCATGGCTTTAAAAATCATCATATTTCCATGACACACCTCAACATCACTTTGAAAGATCAAGTGTACCATCACTTTATCTTCTTGTATCATGATAGAGGATTTATAAACTTGTCAAATTATTGGGTCGACAACATTCACAAGTCTAATGACCTTTCGTACCATTTTTATAATAAAAATTTTCTTCACGTTTTGAAGGACTATTTGAAGAACTCATAGTGTTCTTCCTTTTATCATTACCACAATGATGACTATTATAATTTTGTCCCTCCACGCCCTTATTCATATCATTAATTATTTGTCATCTTTCAGACTAATCATTCACTGCTACCACATTCATATGATTGAATGGAGCAAGTCAACAGGCGGATTTCAGAGTTATCACATGTTGCTACCACATTCTTTTCAAGGAATGGAGCAAATTCAATATGATGAATTTCAAGACATTTCATCAAAAATATATTATTCTTCTTAGTCATCATTTTATCATCGCTATGGTGTATTGGCTCAAACTCAATGTTTTACCCATATAAGGCGTGTTACGCCATAATTCTATGGGACTTGAACACAATCAAGGTGCATCAAAATCCTAATTGATGTCTTACCCTTTTGGTGCGATAGAACTTGAATCTATTGTCTTATCCTCAAATATTTTTCATTATGGTGCATCCGAACTTACCTGATGTCTTACCCTTTTGGTGCGATGAAACTTGAATCCATCGTCTTACTCTTAACCAACGGTATAATAAATCGAAGTACAACATGATTTATCCTTTGAGTCTCTCAAAACAGTCAAAATAATATTCAAAATCATGCTATTAAAAATTTATACCTTCTTCCATTTAAGAAGTTTTGTATAGCATGTCATATTCAACCAATAGTAGTATATGTCTTCGGTTCCTGATAATTGTTAGTGACTGAACACTATTTTATTCTAAATCATAAAATATTTTAGAAAATACATACCTAATTTTATGCATATAATACTTTGATCTTCATAACGAGATCAATAAAAATATGAGCTAAAGAAAAACAAGAACTCACTCTCAATTAGATAGAGACTCGTGCTGATAACGTATTATAAAATCAAGCTCATAAGAATATAATCATAAAGAGAAGAAGAGAAGAGAAGTAGATAGAAGAAGGGAAATTTTCTTCTTATTCAAGTGTATTTAAGTGTCATATGTATATCATACAATAGTGAATGAAAACCCCTATTTATAGAGTGAGAAATCACTCCAAAAGTCACCATATTAAGTATTATAATAAATAGATACATTCTTATACAAAAAAGTTCATAAAACCTAGTGAATATGGATGGTTGTTCATTTACCAACTTTATGGACTATCCTCTCATTCAATGGATTTATAACACTTTTAAACTAATTATACATATTTCTACGAAATTTAATTTCACATCAAGTTTCTTAATTAGATAACCACACGACACCGAAGGTTAATTATACTATACTTTCAAGAATATATTTGTTAGAGTGTATCTTTTTTAAAAAAATTATTTAGTTTTTGTGTTGTAATATTGTTGTAGTTATTTTTATTTTTACTTCTTTTCCTTAAAAATATATATGAGATGATATGATTAGACTTTTGGATTTTTGAATAGTTTGAGTTTTACAACGTAACTTCTTGGTCCATTATTTGCAAGAAGTTGCTTTTATTTATTTCTTAATTCATATATATCAAAATCATCAAAATATTATTTTATAAATTCAATAAAATTTAACATTTTAAACTTACTTGCAACAAGATTTATTTCATATATTTTTTTAGTTTTGTGAATAATTGTGCGAAGCACGAATAAGTTTATTATTAAATTTGTAACAAATTTGAGTAATGAACATTTAAGATAGTAACAATAGAACTTTTGGTGTCTATTCTTTTTAAATTACTCTCAAACACAACTAGTTCAACATTTATTTTCAAAGTATGTAATTGCATTCAATTGAAACTATAGCATACCAATACTTAATTAAACATATGAAAATTTCAATCCAGATCCTTGAAACTTTTCTTCAATGATATGATTGAGTTTATAATTCATCTCTGTAGTAAAATAATTCCTCCAATCTCCAATTTCCCCTCGACGAAAGAACGCTTTATTTCCCTCTCCAGTTGACAACTTTCCATTTGTATTCACCTCTAAACTTCTCAAATTCTCAAAGCTGCACACTCTTAATATTTCATCTACCACTCCACAATTTTCTTCCTCTATAGAAAATGGAATTTTCAAAAATTCAGCCAAACGTTTAAGCTGAATTTTTGGTTTCTCTTTAATTTCTTCGTACATCAAGAAAAACACTTTGTTAGGATTTTCTATGCTTTGTTTCCAATAATCCAACACGTGATTCCAAAACGGACCATAAATGCTCAACCCCTCACAAAAAAGATCAAACATTTCATGAATGGAACTGGTATCTTTGTGGTGAAGTCTTAAATTATTTGCAAAATGCCACATAGAAACAAAAGTGTCCTTAGGATTCCTACATAAGTAAACAAGTTTGGTTTTTGAAACCAGGACTGATTTTGGCAATGAAGCAAAGGGCACATGAGTTGCGAAAAGTCTAGGTGAAGTGAAAGTTGAAAAATCAGGAACTTGACCATCAACATAGAGTGTATGCTCCAAGAATGGAACAAGCACATGAGGACTTTTAACAAGTAAAGGGTGATTAGGTTCAAAAATAGGATGTTTCACTCGATAAATTAGAGCGAATAAAAGTGATTTTAACCAAGTAGTTCCTGATTTTGGAGTAGTAACAAGAATGATATCACTATCTTCGGCTTGAAATCGTTGTTGACATGCAATCATACCTTGAAGCAGTCTTGGTGGTATCCAACAACCTTGATAATTGTAAATATATGATCCAATCCATCCTTTTTCTTTTGGTAAGATACGGAGCAATTTCTTACACTCTTCACTTAGGTTATCCTCTTGTAAATATCTTGGAGGAGAAGGTGTCATGATTTAACAATTGAGTATTTTCTTCAAGTTTAGGGTTTTTATAACAAATATTCATGAATACACTTATTATTCATGTGACGTTTAGTCATGCACTTCATGTGAGCTCACTACTTCACATTTTTCATGTCATTCTATTAGTGATAATTACTCTGATTAACTTATTTAATTTATTAAGAAAGTGTTATTAATGAGAGTATGCACTATAAGAAAACTGTTAATTACATAGGGATTTTCCTGGAAATTTATATGAAAATTTGCAGGAAAATAAGTTTCCTGCGAACTTTCATACTAATCCCCAGGAAAATGGGAGAAAATCCTCATATAATTAACAGTTTTCTTATAGTGATGGCAGAATGGTTAACAAAATTCATGTAATATTTTATCATCTTTGTCAAATAATAATTTTAATTCAAGACTAATTCTTTGGAGTTTATTTATCACTTTTCTTTGACTTATAACCATGAAAATATAATTTAAATAACAAAAAGAATAATCTAATTTATCCATATATTTTCTCCATTTATTTTTACTTACTAGGAAGAGATGGCCCGTGCTTGCACGGGCCCAATGTTTGAAAGATTTTTTCGAGCTAAATAGACACAAACACCGTTTTGGGATAATGCACAACACACAAGGGCAATTGTTTGTGGCCTCCTTGTTTACATTGGATATCATACATCATGTACTATTTACTTAGTGCTGCATGTTTCCTGCTTTCCAGTAGTAAGAACCTATCAAGAAGTATCAGAAGAGGAAAAAGGAATTTAGGTACAAAGTGAAATATTTTTAGTCATACATATATGTATTTGTCTAACTATGTATGCATTTTTATGTTGTGATTTTAATAGTTCTAACAATCAAAAAATTATGAGAGAAGTTGATCATTGAAATGATAATCGACACAATAAAAGTACAGAATATCATTTCTTTTTTCAATTTTACCACAATTCGACAAAAGTTTTATTTATATAAAATAATCTGATTGTATAGTTAAAGGAGCTAAGCAACTCAAGACATGCTAAGTCTTGACATTTATTCCTCATTGTTTATAGAGTGTAGTGGGTTCTACCTAAACGCTCAAGTAGAGTTCACAGAGATGGGAGGGGAAGAGTCCTAGTTCATTCTAAACAAAGCAAGACACCTTTTTGCCTACCATTCAAGCGTCCATTGAAGAATGTAACATCTATACAGAAGATAAGCCCATTTAATAGTACATGTTTACTGTCTACATAAAATTTTTAAAGTCATCAACTACACTAATAAGGAAGCATACTAAGTTAATGATGGATTGAAGCATGCAAGATCCAAGTATTGTAAGTCATACCTGATGCTGCAGCGAATATGAGCCAAAGATTTTTCAAAAGTAGGGAACAAAAGTGTACACCATCAACATGCCAACCATATTCCAAAAACATAGTATAAATTAGTCAAAATAAAGAGAAACAATTGTCAAGTGAAATCCAAAAGAATTTACAAATGGCTATATGATGTAGATACTTATCTACCATGGTACTGCTAATTTTAGAAAATGTTTAGGAGACGAATGGACCTGTTTTTTTTCTGCAGAACTCATTTAGTATTGTTTGATATAAATCAAAGCTTCCCTGTTTAAGAGGATATAACATAGTTGAGGAAGTAGATATCTTTTCATTCATAAGATTCCTTCTAGCATCAATAGTAAACATTATATAACAACTCTATGACAACACCAATTGTTGTCAAATGAAATGCAAGGCCAGGGATAAGAAAGTAGTAACTGACAACATCAAGTAAAATAATTATTACAAAAGTCTAGTTTAGTGCACGTGTTTATGCATAATGGTAGAAATACAGGGTGGGTGCTTCGCCAAATTGTCAAACAATAGACAGCAGGATATCAAATTCTATGTACACCGACGAATAGGGAATGATTAAATATGTACCACTGTAGTTTGCACACATAGCAGTTTATAGAAGAGACTGATCAAGTCCTAATATATGTCAAAGCACCTGCCCAACAATATATATCGAAGGCCTCCAATCTGCAAAGAAAGGTTGGGATAAACATTTCCTAAAAATTACATGTCCAAGCAGAATTTCAAAACACCATTAAATGAAGAAATATCACCATGACATTCATAGACCAGATTCAGCTATAGTTTCTTTCACCGAGAAAGATTAATTATCACAACCAACATAGAACTAATGAGAATGTATAACTGTTTGAAGAAAATGTTATCACTGAATTCATGCATGAATTATTTTGATTTGCAATCCTACCTTCTGTCTCTTCAGTCTGTTATTCTCCTCTTCAACAAATGAAACCTTGTTCTCTAGTTCATGGGTGTAAGCAAAAGGACCTGCTTTCTTGCTCGTGATCGAGCGCGGATTCCCTATTTTTAACCATCCTCTTCTGTCTTCTTTCTACACTATTTTAAGCGGTATCACGTGGAGCAACTCGCTTTCTTCCAGAGGTTTGTGTCTCTGATAGTGTTCCAATTATATGTGCTGGAGACATTGTCACTTGACTTTCAGGATAAGTTGCATCCATAATTGGGTTAGCAACAGCAGGTATGTTCAATTGGATGGCCTGTCATAATATGTACACATATTATTTATAGAGTGTTGACAAATATGAACGTAGTTTAGCTTGGATTGAAGACAACAATAAGTGTTCTCAATTCAAAAGAACTTAGCAGAAAGAACTCAAACAAAGATAAACAATGGATGACTCAATATATTCGATTCACACAAGTTGTGCTTTTAATAATTAGAGAAAACCCCAAGAAAAAAATAGCTTATTTTAAACAATGAAATCTCAAAATAATCAGCAAACTTAGAAATGAAATGAGAAATACAATATCCTTGATCACACAAGTTATGTTCTTAAAATGTAGAAGAAATTATGTCAATCTAAGTGCACGAGCAGTGATGTTCCTAATGACAAAATAATTAACAACTCAGTATGGAGTGAAGCATTAATTTGTTAAATTAATACAACTTGAAGAGCTGATAAGTTTGATTGTTTGGTAGGAGGTACAAGATTAGACATCTCATATTTGGTTGATGGTATACATTTATCTCGAGATTAATTTATACCATCAACCAAATAAGGTATAATAGCTTAGTCGTCATAGCATATATCAAGTAAAAATAGATTTGGTATGTTGTTGGAGAAAAAAGATGAAAAATTTCTTGCTCCGAGAAACTTCAAAACCAACATTCTTCCATTCTACAAAAGAAAAAAATCACTTTAACTTACGTCTGATACTATGTTTTAGTGATTAAAACTCCCACACCCCACCCCATCCCCACCCAAAAGGGAAAAAAGATAAATATTGTGTATATAGTTGTTATACTTATTTTCTGCTCTCGTATTTTCTTAAAAAAATACACCTACTGGATCTCATTAAGAATTTCATTAGGCGGAAGATCGGGAGAAATGGAGGATGTCCTTCGTCATGCCTTCCAAGTATGGTTCGGACTTGCCACTACCGAAGGATTCCTCTGTTACTATCAAAAAGGTGCCTCGGAAAACTGTCGCAGTTGTTGCTTTTTCAGGTTCGTAACTTCACATTCAGTATGTCAATACAAAGTTCAAGATGGAATGTTAAGCTTTCTTGAAATTCAACATATGTTGTCAGAAAGGTGGAATCTATCTCATTGGTTAGTAGAAGTAGATCTTGGTAAAGTTACTTAGTACTTTATCGATCGATCGACTTGTTATGATATGAGAGAAACTTGGACATAGTTATACTTACGTTTCTTTCTTAAATGTTCTATAAGCCTGCTGTGACGAATGACGGTGATCAATTCAGAGTTCAAAGAGAAAATATTAAGGAATTCTGTTTTTCAAGTTCTGTATCCTAACATAGCTAGCCCTCTCTCGTTTGATTCCAATGAAGGTTTTGTGAATGACGAAGAAGTTAAAGCTCGAGAATCAAGACTTCGAACTGCACTAAATGGAGATGCAGAGTTCCAGGTAAAAGATGGTGTCTTGGTAGAAGTTGCACAGGTATATTTGTAGAACCATTTCAATTACACTTACAATATCTCCTGGAGAACATATTTTGACCTAGTTCAACTAAAGTAGTTGCATATTTATTATACTTCTCTTGCAGTATAATCCACCATTCACTCTTCCTTTCACACGTCGGAATTAGATTAGCCTGGAAGTCGAAATGAAACAGGAATAGCTAATCTAGAGCTTGTTTGGATTCAATTAAAAGTTCATTAAATCTACTTTTGAATCATTTTTTACTTTTGGGAGAGATTTCAGCTCTGTTGATCAGCAAGAAGTTGGTATATGGAATAACTGTTTGAGATGTTTGAAAAACCTTCCTAAAGGTAGTTCTTTAACTGATGCAATTTTCGTGTTACACAATAACCATGATAAAAGCATACAATTGCTTGTTCAAGTCCAAAACATTTGAATTTCTAATAAAAGAAAGTCGATTTTCTTTATCATAAATTATTATAAGCATGAAGCTCTAAAGTATAAAGTTGAATTACTACTTTGCCCCTATACTAAATTAAAAAGTAATAAAATACTTTACCTAAATATAAATTAAATATCTAATTAAATAGTAATATTGAATTACATAATAGAGGAGCAAAATGAGAAGTTCAGCAGTCTATTCAATTACTATATGTGAAACAACCAAATAGGATGAACACTAATAAAGTTTCAATTAATATAGAAGTTGAAACGTATTTTGCTAATTATGAGAAGTTGAAAGGGATCAATAAGTAATTGAGGAATATCAAAGAGTTTTTATCAACGAATCTTTAAGACTACACTATATAAACATACTCAATATTAGTCATTCAACACAAGCTTCCATTGTTAAGTGGGTACAAAAATGTCTTCTAATTTTCAGGTACAATCTTATTAAGTCTAGATTTTTCCGTTTGATTTGCTAACTTCATTTGAATGATAACTTTCTAATTTTTTTAATAGGTAAAATAAATAGCTTGAAAGGTATAATCACA